GCCAGAAAATCGAGATGGTATGATGATGATGATATAGATTCACATGCTTATAAACTCACACACAGTCTTCTGTTTTATCAAACCACGCTCTGATAATGAGAAACCCCTTTGTTTGTGAGGAGGTGTGCAACACAGAAATCAATGAAATCCTGAGGGGAAAATAAGGATGCTTCTTAGTTTACATTTGCCAGACAAAGCCCACTACACAAACACTCTAACAGAGGCAGCCACACACATAAACAAACTGCTTTGCAATGCTGCATGTCCAGTGATGAAAAATGTCCCTGCATTTTTGTGGGTTGCCCCCCTGTAACACCAACACCTGAATTTGCAGAAAATCTTATTGCCTCAATTGATCATTCTTATTGAGCCGACTGTACGTACCGATAGACACTTTGTGAGAGAACTTGGCTCTTGGGTTCCTTCACGGACTTATCTACAATTTCCAAAACTCCGTTCACACTTCAATTTCCATCTGTACTGGCAATAAGAGACAAAGTGTGGAACAAACCATTTGTCTTGACAGAACAAAGACGAGACAGTGTGACTTTTATCTCGCTTTAAACAATCACAGCAAAGAAGAACTTGAGTGTTAATGGTTGTTTCCTCAAACAGACACTTTCAGAAAAGCAAGCAGCTGAGGAGGGAATAACACAAAGTGAAAGTAGAACTCTCACCAACCAGCACACAAATATATAAATGTTTGTAGATGGCTGTTGAGGTTGAGAGCATCAATGGGAGCCTTTTAGAGTAAGTGCTATCTGGCTGAGAGAATATAGAGTTTCACTTTTAACCACTAGGAGTGACCGCAAGATAGAGCACATTAATGTTCAGATGCAGAAGTTAAATATTAGATGACTTGATTATGTTTTCAGCCTTGCTAGTGGCATGGCTCTATGAATAGTAATGTTGGACATTCATGTCCCCCTTAGGATAAATTGTAATAGCTTTAGTTTCTGATTTTTCATCTAGCACCATAATCAGATAAATGTTTTAGTTGTCCAATATTTTGGTTCATGACCAAACCTGTAAAACAACATTCCCATCAGTGTTTAGTGCTAAGCATAGACTGTGCTGTTGACTCTGATTGTCGCCATCTTGGCAGTCCTGACTCTGACGGCTCCTGGCTAATCTAAAATTGGGCAAAGGCATGGAGCTGAGGTTGGCTGCATGAGGCCTGGTTTTTGAAAACAGCCACCTGTCACTCAAGTGGTCGTGCCCTTAATTATAACGGGGGAGTTATGTAAAAGTTCACCCCCAGTGCAGTTGTCATAAACGGGGAATTTAGCTATTGAGACTTTTTTTTTGTACCAGGCTGTAAACATGTTTATTTCTGCTGTAAAGCTGGGCATTTTAATATGGGGCTTTATGGAGATCGATCTCTGCTGTAGCCAGCCCCAAGTGGCCATCAGAGGAACTGCAGTTTTTGTTACTTCCGTGTTGACTTTGTTTCTCACCTACGCAGGCTGCCGCTTGGTGCTGAGTTGCAAATGTTGGTATGTTAACAGGCTAAACTAGGAACTAGCATGTTAGCATTGTCATTGTGAGCATGTTCATGCTAGCATTTAGCTCAAAGCACCACTATGCTTAAAGTACAGCCTTACAGAGCTGCTAGCATTGCTTTAGACTCTTAGTATTGTTCATCTGTGTCCTCTTGTGTGAAAAGGCTTCCTAGATACAGCCTGGTTTGTATGTGTTTCTTATATTTATCAGTTTAAAGACATTTGACTAGCCTACCAGATAACAGGTATTTTGTAGGCTGTGTGTAATAAATGCTTCAGAGACTTGTTGTAGCTGACTTGGTGATTAACAGTTAAGATCTGTGCCCAAAATGGTGACACATCACATTTTCTGTTTATCTGTAAACACAGTCTTTATCAGATACCTGATGCGTGCTGTATGGATGACTCTGCAGTAGGAGAATACAAAATAAAAGACTTGAGAAAAATGAAACATGGCTGCTTTGGTATTTAAGGATGCTCATGGTTAGCAGCTTATCACTGCCCATTAAATGTTTGCACCACTCCTGTCTGTTGGAACTGAATTCTCTTGCGACCGCAGCTCAGGGGGGGTTAAGGCACCGTGCAATCAATACTTTGTACCAGAGGTATTCTGAGGCCAATAGACAGTCATGTCAGCTATCGCAGTTCCAATAAATGCCTGGATGAAGCCCAGTGGATAAGGGGAGAAAAATCTTCAAGGGACTCTGTTTCTGGTTAATGGGTTTTTTTCACGTGACTGGTGATGAGACAGTGACTCAGCTGCATTTTCATTTGGCCTCATTTTGTTTTAAGTGATGGGAAAATATAGCAGCAACAAGCTTATGATTTGGGACACAATGATGTATTGCATTATTTCTGTCACATCGAAATGGGACAGATTAGAACAATTTATTAGATTGATCACAGGCCTGTTATTATAGCATTGTTCAACAGTGTGCAGCCATAGTAGCCTATCTGCTACCTAAAAAAATGATTTATGCTGTTTATTAACTCGAAATTACCATTTAAACAAATATGGATGATAACAATATATAATATTTTGTAACAGCACTAAATTATAGAGAGAAGGAGAAGCACCCTGGATGGAATTATCTGCTTTAGTTTTACAAGTGAACTCAAGCTTTGACCAGTGTTAATATACAGCCCTGAGGTTTAGACATATGTTATGGGTGACTAGTATGTTAACATATAACGATGCTGTCAGCCCATATGTGTGGTAACCTAACCAAATCCAGATTATTTTAGTCAAACCATGTGCCATAGAGGAGCTGAGAGTGTACAATCAAATACTATAAGTAGTCCAATGATTAATTACTCGTGTGTTGATTACACAAGTCTAAGAATGCCTAATTGATATGGAGAAGGTTCTTCTGACTGGAAACACATTTTGTCAGGGGAGTAAAGTTACCCACGCCTCAGTTATATAGGATTCATTCATCTGATTCATACATCACAATGGTTAGAGATTATTAGGAATGAACATTATGAAGAAGAAGGGAAAAAATCTACTTAGTTTTTTACATTTTTTTAAATATTTTTTTATTTGTTGACTCAACTCTGTTTATGAACTTGCCAAAACAAACCAAAACAATATATATCCTTATTCTGAAGTTTGGGTAACCCTGAGGGGGGCAAAGATCTTTGTTGACCCTGAGTATGGTACCAGTAGTTATTGATTGATTGTCAAGTTATCTAATTTCCAAAGCCTGTGACAGCTGAGAATCATTCTCTATCAGCTGTTTAGAGGCAGGTTTCAGTGAGAAAATGTATGTGATTGAAGCAGCAGCACACTGCCAACGTTTAGCAAAACAGGATCATTGAAAGCCTTTAATTAAATCTAAAACAACCCCTACAAGAGTGATAAATGGAAAGAAATGTGTTCTGCTAACTAATTGCCAAAGCCATCAATCTTCTGTGGGCAGGATCTTCATCTCAGCATTGTTAATGCTTTTGTAGCTGGCAGGATTTTTCAAAACCTGTGAAAGGAGATAAAACCTTGAACAATGCTCACCAGGGAGTTGGAAAGAGCCAGTATTTCAATATTATTATTTCATTATGCACAAGGTGCTACAGAGGCTGGAGGGAATGACAGATCACTGATGATGAATATATAGTTGCTATGGTGTGTGTGCATCTGTGTAAATGTGACACTGACACCGACATTGAGGTGAACAATTGTCTGTGTCAGCAACATGAGATGGAGGTGAACTGAAGACTGCGGAATGAAGCTTGTAACATGATGCCGAGTCCTGAAAGGAAAGGAGGAAGTGAGGAGATGGAAATGGATGAGGACGGCAGACAGGATGGGAGAAAGAAATACTTTTTTCTTTTTTTTCAGTTTGTGATGTTTCAGCCTGAAGTGGACAATTTTGCCAGGTTTCATTGCTAATGTAGGTGATTGCAGTGTCACAGTTTATTCCAGATGAAAAACATCATTGCTGAATTCAAAATAGCTAGTCATTTACAGGAGTCACTAATGGGCAGAACCAGTTCCCCTCCCAGAAAGTAAATTTGGATTCGGCACTTGCTCTCACTCTAACTTGTAGCAAACTCAGTGGGAATTGTGCATGAGGGGTTGTAGGTGTGTATATGAATGAATGCATGCTTGTATATCTGGGTGTTAGTAGTAATGAAGACAGACTCCTTCGACACCAGTAGGCAAAATCTGCTCCCGCCTGATTTACCCCGCAGAGGGTTTAACACCTGAGAGCAGAACAGATTTCATAATGTGGACTAACATTTCCTCTGACCTCAGTAAAACAAATTAAATTTCACAGTACCTGCAAAGGAAATGATCTTCTGTCTAAAGCCTTAAAAGCAATGTAATCATCTCTCTCTACAGCAGAGACCTGTGTTGTGTTAATGTTGCACATCCAGGCTGACACTTATTTTATTCTGCAACCTCTTATAGCAGATAGATGTTGCACCTCTTTAACTTCACCGTTTCCCTTTAACTTTGGTGTCACAATGTAGAAAAAGTAATTTTATTTCCATCTATAATATTTTTCGGATGATGTTCTTCTCTCCCTTCCTTCCTTTCTCTGTGTCCGTTTGTCACTATGCACACACACACACACACACACACACACACACACACACACACACACACACACACACACTCCAATTATAATCAGTTTGCTGGCAGGCCTCCTCTGAGGCCTGATTGGCAGCAGAATTGTCATTTTCTGACGTCACTTTTGTCCTCATCCGTGTGTCACTTAGGGGAGGTGGCAACGAGGGCGATGCTCTTTGCTCCTCTTCCTCTCTCTTACTCCCTTTCATCACCCCTGACACATTGCTAAAATGTTTTCCCTCTCCCTCTCCCTCTCTCCCATTTTCCTACATATTCTCTCTGTATCCATAAGGTCGTGACTGATAGGCTTTGCCATTTAAGAACTGTCTGACATTTATGCTGACTTTTCCCCTCCATAGAAAAACAGGCCAGGGAATGCAGATACTTTATAATACATTTTTTCTTCTTCTTCTCTTCTTTTTCAGGGCAGCTTGAAATTGCACCACCTACTGCAGCACAGTTAAGATACGGTAAGAAGTCAAATTTGTTGTAATGTTGGTTGATGTTTCAGTATGACTTCATATGTTTCTACATATTTGTTTTGTTCATTTAAAAGGGACAGTTTAAATGAGTTGCTTATTAATCAAGTAGTACGACAGCCTGGATTGACGTCCCTCCTTCAACCGTCAATCAACCAGGAAGATTATTGAAGATCAGTCTTAATTAACATTAATGAGCAGGACATTGTGGTTCATCATTGATGCTTTGTTTCCATGGTTTCCCCAAAAAAGGGTGAAACATGCTGTATGTGGATAATAAGTTTCCATGAACAGATATTGCATTAGCTGTTGCCCTTGTTGTCTCAAAGTAATTGGTAGCCAAGGATAGCATCAAAGATATTCATCAAAGTTAGGTAACTTTTATAAAACTTTTTGTCATATTTGCTGAAACCTTCACTATATCCAGTAGTGCATGAGACAGATGAGACAGATTCATCTTCAAGCATTTGCAGGAATCCAGCGGGCCTAAACAAAAACAGCCAATCCAGAGGCCAGTTCACACATGATCTGTTTCATGTACTAAAAAGGTTTCAGCAAATATGAGCAAAGTTTCAGTTATTTTTTATAAAAGTTACCTACTGCGGCCGTATGCAAACTGCAAACAGACTCCACGTACTCCACCTGCTGTACAGAGACATGCACTGTCTGAACATCTAATGGCCTTTTATCAATTTGTACTTTTGCATATTCATTGGGTCCATACAAACTTATAAATGCTATTGGACATAATAGTGAACATAGGGTTTTTTGTTTAAAAAAGAAACAATTAACACAACAAGAAGAAAAAGGACCACACCATACTCAATTATCACATCAAGAGATGTTTTGACACATTTTTTCCCTTGTAATTTGAAGCTCTTTGTCCCACTTTTTTATGTGAGTTGATAATAGGTTCCCGTCTATAGAATGGTGTCTCACAGACCATTTCTCACTACAAATAGAAGGTCATACGCTCACACACGTGATCCACCTGCACACACTCCACTATAAAAGCTTGTGCATACTTCACTCTGCAGTGCTCAGTTACGGACATTACCTCAGATTTCTCTCCTCCTGCTTAGAGGTCAGAAAGGCTGCTGAGTTATATCAGCTTGTGTTTGTCTTTCTTTATTTCTCACAGTATTCATTTAACAGAGAGATCTTTGTGACTTAAAGCAAAAACAGAGACATCATGTGAGAAACCTCTCCTCTAAAGCTTAGCTGTGTTATCTTTAGTGCAGAGCAAAAGCAGGAACAGCATTTCAGCAGCAGAAGAGAAACGCTGAGTGAAACCTTAAAAAGGAACATCGACTCAGCTGGCTGTCACTGGAGCAACAGTGAACATGGCACTCATGAGACAGCAAAATCTTTGTGTTGTGTGCCTTGTTTTTCTCCTGCTGGGAGTTATACCGCACATGTTGATGACTTCTGTGGGAAAAAAATGTATAAATAGTGTCATGTCACTTTCAAAATCATGAAATGATGTAAACTTTATAACTTATAAGTGAAATCGTCTGTCCTTAATTTTTTCATGTTAATACAATTTGGAGCTGAAGTTTGCCAAACAAATTGTTGCAACCCTGGTCTAATTTCCTTCACTAAATCTTAGTGTCTGCAAAAATTCTCATAAATGTATTAATGTATAACATTATACCCATTTATGTTTCTGACTTCAGAACTCAAGCAGTGACTCCTTTCTGAGCTGAATTGATTAGGTTGGTTAGATGTGACGAAAATATTAAGGAGAACAGACCATTTGCCAAGGCCTCTAGGACAGAATAGCAACAGTATATACCAAATAATAAAGGTTTTGCCTGATGGTGGTACATGATGGTGGGAAAGAGCATCAGCTGACCAGTAGTTGGAACTAATATTGCCAGAGGAGTCAATTTTTAATTCCCTCCTCTGATCTGGAACATAATTGGTAAAAATATAGAGAGACATTTTGTCCTCAAAGATTTGAGTGTAACATTACAACATGTGTTGATGTGTCCAGGGGAGATATGGGATACTCCCTGGGAAAATCTGGTGATCCCTGTCATAAAAACTCTATGTTAAGACACAGTAGTCAGCGCCACAGTAGCTCACCTGATAGAGAGTGGGTACCTACTTTTAAGAAAGAAACCTCAGTAGTTGTGTAATCTGTCAATCCTAAATTGCACACAAGTCAATGATGCTTTAAATTAAAGGATAAAGAGCCCAGAAGCTCTAGAAAATGTCAAGCTTTCACTCACTGACTTCACTCTTGAGTATCATAGAGAAGCGCTCAAACCAAACACCATGATGAGATTCTGCAGAGATCAAGAGATGGAGTGCTCCTCACAATCCAATTGAAGTTATCCCTGGTGTATCATTAAAATAAAGTCTGTGTTCAAGATATGAGTGAGTAGATGTTTTGTGGACTCAGGCTCAAACAGCAAAGTTGAACATTTTTATTTTTTAGTGAAGGAGAGCTGCAGCCAAATGAGAGCTTGAGTGAAGAAATTAATTGATATTCAGCAGTGATTCTCCTTCAAGAAAACACTCTGTGGGTCAGTTACTTGAACTGGATTGAGAATAGACTAAACATTCCTGGGGTGGTGATGGGTGACATTTAGAATGTACTTTCACAGTAGAAAACAGCATATTATACTGTATATCTTATATACACACACAACACACAGAGGGAATCTTCCATGCATGTAATACATTACTCTCTGTAGCAATATTTACATTCTGATAGCTTTTTGATCTGGAAATGGAGCTGCTTCATATTTATGACACTATTTACACAAAAGGTCTAGGTCGAACCTTTTGTAATATTCAAATATGAAATTCATTCCATTTTAGGAAAAGACTGTTCCTGTTTGTTTTGCTGCCAGCTAGTTGTACCAGTAGCACAGACTGTGCTATAGAAATAAGATTAGATATCTTACTCCCTAACTAATTAAATTTTAAGAATGTATTACATTTTATTTAATTTTTTTTATTTTTCCTCATGTGAGATCAGTCTTATATTAATTTTCTCATAGTTTCATGTACCTTGTAATATATATTTAGCCCACAAAGTTAGGCTAATATATTCTTTATTGTGTTAGCAAAGCATGTACCAAAGTAAAACATTGGCACAATTTAGATCAAATAAGGCATCAGAGTTATCAGAACATATGAACTTAATATAGCTACCACTTCATAGAGATTGGATGATTCCAATCAATGTGATTGTGATGTACTTCAGACATTTAGACCAATCTTATTAAACTTATTTCACACTAATTTGCAGCTGTTTTTCTATTAAATCTGTTATAGCAACATATTAGAAACACGCATAAATAAATAACTAGAGTTATGATCCATCTTCGGTTCTTTCCAAGCATCTCCCAACAGCAGCTTCATTTTCTTTTCAGCACAAAAGTGTTTTATGTTATTGCATCTTATATCATCTGTGTTTATTCTGTTACAGTTCTGCTCTGCACGGCTCAATTATGTCTAATGGGTTGTTATTTATTAATGTAGACACAATCTGCAAATTCTGTGTTTACTCTGTCTGTTGGTGATGAATTATTTGTGTTATTTTACAGTTCTGCTGCACAATGCACTCCCTTTTGTTGGATTTGGATTCCTGGACAACTGCATCATGATTGTTGCTGTAAGTCTGTCTGCTTCATGCAGTGCTGTGCTCCCCTGTAGCTCAGTGTAGAGTTCGATTTATACAGGGGGAACCTGTGCATAAAGAATATGTTGTGTAATACTGTAGGAAGCTTTAAATGGAACATGGAAGGAGCGAGACAAATGTATAATTTTATTTGATGATGCTGTATTTATCACTCAGTATATTTCCTATTTGCTCTCATTGTTCGGTAGACCGTCTCTCATCTCTCTGTTTCTCAGTCTTTTTACATCCTATACAAGTTGTAGTAGTATGCCTGCCACAAGCTCTCCACTCTGTATTATGTCTTTGTGAAGTTGTTCAAATAATGAAATTTAAACCCAGTGGAACGGAATGAATTCATCGACTTTATTCATTTAGTTTTTAACACAGAGACGATGAATTCTTATAGGGGGGCCTCTACAAGGAGGTGGGAAGACAAGTAGAAAGTGAGAATATATACTAGAGAAACAGAGAGATTAAACCTAAATAGAGCACAATGATATGGCTTTGCCCAAAAACCAATATACTGTAACAAAAAGTTGAATGTGGAGATATTATGCAAAATATTTCAGCCAGAATGGTGTTTTTGCTCCTTGACAAAGCAGACTGGAAAAGTTTGAAGAAATAAATCAATAAGTAAAATTGTATTTTTTAAAGTTGCTGTAAAGGTCTGACTCAGTCCAGACTGTGAGATAAACTAATGTACCCTGCCTGAAGATCTCAGGCTGCTCTCCATTTTGTATGAGATAAGAGGTCTGAACTAAAGCCAGGAAACCATAAACTGAAAGACTGAAAGCCTCTAGAAAACCTTTGAAAAGCTTTTAATGATACAAGTAGACTTTGGTTGGAGGCTACAATTGCCCATTCAGTTAAACCTTGTTTTAGCATTTAAAATTAGACCTTTAAGCTAAAAAGTAAATAGGAGAGAGAGCTTTAGTTAATGTAAAGAGACATTAAAACAGAGGAATTTATCATTGGTAGCGATTAACCCCTTAGAGTGATGCACAAAAGATGCAAAGATGCAATTTCTGGTTTGTATTATAGAATGACGCACTGAGCTCTCTGGCCTTACACACTAACTTCTGTAATGTGTGTGTGTGTGTGTGTGTGTGTGTGTGGGTGGGTGTGTGTGTGTGGGTGTGTGTGTGTGTGTGTGTGTGTGTGTTTGTGTGTTTGCAGGGAACACAGATTGAGTTATCCATCGGCGTGATCCTCGGCATTTCAACTATGGCTGGTAAGAGAATCTCATGATCCAAATGTAACTTGATTTCTAATAAGAAATATTGCATTTTTATTACAAATCAGTGAAGTCAGTAAGTCCATCAGACTGTCAAAGAGCATGTGTGTCTAAGGCAGAGAGACGAGGCAGTGTTTATTTTGTTTGCTGTCCTTTATAGTCATGAATGGTTTTCATTATATAGAGTCTGTGTAGGTTTTTAAACACAGAAACATTTGATTGAGGATTGTTGCACAGTGATACCTCCACAAGAGAAGCATTCATGTTTCTCACTGCAAAGTAAAATTCTCTGATCCCTTTGGATTATTTTTTTTTTTCAGTATATTTGCATACACATACGCAGATAGATTGAATTTCTCATCTAATTGCTCAGGCTACAGCTATGCTTGGGAAAAAAATGTTAAGTTAAATTTGATAACCTCACACTCTTGACCCCACAGCCTCCAAACTCTTTAAAAGAAAATAGAAGGAGGCATTTTCAATTTCATTGTAGACCGAATACAATGTCCCATAATGAAGCTCTAATAATGAACTTACACTCTGACCACTGCTGTGACACTAACCAAAAAAAAGAAAGAAAGTGACATTAGAGAAAGGAAAGGGAGAGAGCGAGAGCGGGAGAGAGAAAGACACTGGCTCGTCTAGATAATAATAGTTTCATAAATATGTTCATGGTGTTCAGAAGCACATTGTAATATCCACTTAGCTCAATGAGGCTCATTTGCATTTTAATGTTATCACTTGTTCCTAATGTGTATCTGGTAGAGACACTGAGGTTATTCTGTTACCTTACACTGAATGTGAGTGTGGACAGGAGCTTTGAGAAGAGACACTGATGGTGGTGACAGAGTCTCAACTCTGGTGCAAGGTGAAGCATGAAGACAATTTACTTCATTAATGATGGTCAACGCAACTATTATGAACAGTTGTTGAATATTTGTGTCTTTTGGCAAATCACAGCCATTATTTAGTTGGTACTAGAATTAAATGTTTTGTCTAATTATTAACTAGTATTAACAAAATCCCAATTTATTTCTTCCTGTTCCATCTCAGTCCCTTTACTTTGATGTCAATGGTCTCCAGAACAAAAAAAAGAGTTTAAGAACAACTGACATTCCCACTTTTTCTCTGCCTTACATTTCCTTCTTCGGATTCTTTTGTTACTGCTGGTGATAGAAGTGTGCTTTGGTTGTTTTTTCTGTTCCAGATCAAACAGACTGGGTAAACTGATCTGTCTTGCGGAGAACTGCAGAGTTGTGGAAAACTTGTAGTGTAACTGTAGAGAGGAACAACTAAAAACTTCACTTTGGAAAATTTGCTGATTTTATTTTTCATTTTTACAATAAATACGTGATTGAGATTGTGATTAAGCCAAAGGGGCAATTTCAGGCCTGGTGGGATTTAAGGTTATCAGGTTGCAAACTAAGACAGGAAACCTAGAATTCATTTCCCCGATAGGCTGCTAGCATTTTGACGGGTAGAGTCTGTTATCTCTGAGTGGCATAAAGAGATTTTTCAATTCCGGGTTTTAAAGGGAGTTCTAGCGGCAGAATTCCCCTGTTAATTATAAAACCACCAAAAATCCACTGATTGACAAAAACTAGAAGGAGCTTCTGTCCTTTTCCTCGAGCACAGCCTCAACACAGTTTCTATCACTCAGACACTGTCATTCCTGCTACATTGGGGACATTTTGGGGGTCTGCAAATCAAGATGCTGCAGTTATCTAACGCAGTCCAAAGTGATTTAGCACTTGTGTCAAGTCTGTTGTCAAGTCCACCAATCACACATTTTCAAGGAGGAAACTGTGGCTCAGCTGGCTCGATGAAGATGGAGGCTGTACCGTTAGAAAATGGCTCGACTTCTGAGTTGGGCAAATTACATAATTTGAACAGAGGTAATGATGCGGAAAAACTCCAAATAGGATTAACGCCATTAAAAATTACAACTAAGGTGATTAACTCACAAAATCACCCTGCTTTGTCGAGACTTGCCTTCAAAGACCCATGCCCTCTCCGGCTTCCCACAAGTTGGAACATTTTTATTAGATTCTCATAATTATATTGCATTAATATGTTTATATTACAGCTATTCTAACTTTTAAGAGCTTCCTGTATGAACACATCAGACTGAATAAATGCTTCCTGGTTTTTATCTTTCCCTCTAATCTCTGGTTTTAGATCAAATCCACGATCTAAGACCAGTTACCAAACTGTCATACCGCCTTTGTACAGTTATGTATAGGTGTACTTATGTGTCGGTTATTGTTGCTGTAGAGTGCTTCGAGGTATAGATAGGTGTTTCTCATACACAGCGTTACATTTTTCAGTCTGTGAACATAATGACCTACAGCTGGTAAGTGAGCCTTGCAATCAAAAGCAAGAGACACAAATAAAATGTCCCCCCCATTTTGTTATTTCACATTGTTTCACAGCCCATTTATCCACCAATAGACGTCGGTTGCTAATACACGTGCAGACATCATCTCTGATTTTGCCGCAGGTCTAGAAAGTTTGAGAACGTTCTGGTAAAAGATGGAGATATCCATCATAAAGTAAGAATGTGAGAAAAGGAACGGAAGTACTTCCACTCTTGCCCAAACCCACCTTTCTCCAAGTCTTTCTTTCTTTTATCTTTTACTACTCAATAAACGCTGTCATGCTTCAGAAGCACTTGTTTTGTATGAGAGGGTGATTGCACCTCTTACCAACCTGTTGAAGTGGACTGAATCAGATGCAGAGTGCAGCAAGAAGCAGAGAGAGCAGTGAGTTAAAGGCAGAGAGCCAACATTGTCTTATAATTACATTTGAGTAGCTTGGCCACATAATCAAGCCCGATGGGCTCTCCATTACATCTGTCTCCTAAGGGGCTTGTACGGAGGTACAATATATAATGACAGCACACTATTGGATTACTACTTATAATCTACTGTATAACTTTCTCCTTCACACAACCTTCCTTCAGGAGACACTGACCCAGAACAAATTGTCAAGCAACAACTAATGTAACAAAAAAGAAAGAAAAAGTTTCATTTAAGTACATTTCAAGTGTGTGTGTGTGTGTGTGTGTGTGTGTGTGTGTGTGTGTGTGTGTGTGTGTGTGTGTGTGTGTGTGTGTGTGTGTGTGTGTCAAATTGAGGACATAAGATACCTCTATATAAGAGGCAACTAACTATAAAGATATGTATTTTAGTTATATAGTTTAACAAATGCTGCACCACTTTAACAGTACGTTTTGCCTCACATGAACTTCTTTCAAATAAAATTAGATTGCAAAAAAAGAACTTTTATCTTCTGTCCCAAACTTTTTTAATTCGGCCACAAAAAATGACCTTCCCACTCAGGGTTTTTATTATCATCCATCCTAAGAAGTCAAAATGAAGGACATTTTACAAAAATATGGAGTCCTTAAATCATCATGAAATGAACAATAAAACATGAAAGGGATTTCGTTTTCGATCTCACAGTTTTCTTTTCTTGTCAAGGAGACCATTTTTTACGCTTATTTGCTGCAGTGAGTTACAGTTGGACTTGGATCCTGCCCAGTGCAAACAATATTTTCTGTTCAAAATACCAAAACAATTTCCTCATTTAGCCCAAATCTACTTTGTGTGTTTTGGCTCTGGCTGATTGGCCTAGAATTACAAACTTGCACACTTTCCTTCCTGTTGCTCTTCCTCTCTCCTTCCACCCTGAAGCGGGGATAAAGTCATCCAAGAACTTCTCACAGAGCAACAAGCTAACATGCTTGATTGGAGCCAAATAGAGACAAACCAGCAGCTTATTAACATTAATGCTTTGTTCCAGCAGGCAGGCAAGTCTCTCTTCAATGAGGTCACGGTCACAGGCCTGCTGAGAAACACAGTAAACAACACTCTGCTAAATCTCGGCACACACACAGTCTAAATTCCTCTGTGCTTATCAATGTGGGTGCAGGTCCTGTGGGAGTTTTCTTCAGATGTGCGACTACAGATTGTCAGTAGGCAGAAAGTCTAGTTTGGGTAAATGATGTGTTGTTTTTCAACCTTGTTGCTACAGTAGCAGAAAGTTAGTTGGATTGAAGCACTCAAGACCTCCTGCCAAAGTTGGATTGATAGCAGAGATGGCACTGCTGCTTTGTGTCCGTCCCCCTGAGGGTGTCTGTGCCACCGCGGCAGCTGCAGCAATACTCTCGACTCATGGAAAACAGAGAGAACACATGCAAAGCACAGATTCAGTTCTCTCTTGTAGGAGCCACTACTACAGTAACTTACAAGCAATAGAACAAGCAGATTCTTTTAATGCAACAGCTCTCCGCTCCTGCTCTTCTCTCCTCCGGCACTGCTCCACCTAGTGACAGAGTCTGGGATATATTGAGAAATAAAGACACTGATTCTCTCCTTGCACTTGTTTCATCATTTCAACATGCCGTCGTCCCCTTCTCCTCAGGCACTTTGTGAAGTGCTGCTCTACTTTATTGAAGTGAAGTTATTAGGCTCAGGGAGCAAGTCAACAGCAATGTAGGCTGTAGCCGTGCTTCTGCTGCCTTAAAGCCCCCAAGATGCATTGTGATTGTCCATCATATCTTGTGCAAAAAATAAGCAGTATATGGTTATGGTAAAAATATGCCCCATGTACAAGGAACGAGAACTTGCTATAGCGGCCATGGGTTCAACTCCGACCTGTGACCCTCTCTCTCCCCCCTTCCCTGTCACTCTTGAGCTGTCACTATCTACTAAAGGCAATAAAAGCCGCCCCCAAAAAGAAATGACTGAGCCATATTTGCTTTGTGGGTCTTTTCATATTTAGAAATGATTACAGGGCTTTATGGTCAATTATGAGGCGTAATATTGTGCTTTGCGGGTCCAAAAGTGCTGCTTCTTGTTCTGCTCCTGTCCTCAGATAACATATGGTGTTAATATCATAAAGTACCAAAGGAAAATAGAGGAACACGTGAAGATAATTGAAGGGCTTGTCTCTTAGGAGCCAACACCTCACCCTCAGTTACGGATACATGCTTTAATAAAGTTTGTCATGATAGTCTGAAAAGAACGCAGGAGATTTCATCACCACTAGTATTTCTGATGCACACGTACTTTAACTACACTACAAACACATTCTGTCCTCTAAAGTTGTGCAGCTCACCAGCTGGTATTCATTCCACCTTTTGTCCTAACGTCATGCTTGATATATATTGATAATGAGGGGAATGAATTTACTGTTTACTGTTTACTGTTATTGTTGGCAGATGACTCCAGTTACATGCCTCTGAGTGGTAGATGGAAAAGTGTCTCATATTTTGTGTTCCGTGTTTCATGTAATGAAAAACTACATTCCGTGTTTTGTGCCTTTTGGCTGTCCTCAACACAAACCTCAATTTCCTAACTCATTTTGTAATCATGTCTCTTTCCCTTTGTGCATTCTCTATAGCTGCTGCCCTTGGCAACCTGGTGTCTGATCTGGCAGGACTAGGGTAAGAATTTCACACATACACACACCGACACGCATATTCACACACCAGCACACAGACATAGGCAGTTATTTTGTTCAAAGTTTCTGAAAAGATGTAAGAGGACAGACAGAATTCATACCCTCAATCAATCAAAAGGTAACTGTGGTAATATCACAGTGTATGTCCCATTATACAGATTATTACAGAGATAACTTTTTTAACCACCAAATTATAATATACAAATATTTTTTTTTTTAATGATGTTATAAAAGAAGAGGTTTAACAGTCCACTCAATTTAAGTAATTAAATTGCTTAGTATTAAATGGCAATTATTCAATTCAGCCCTGAGGAGGATAAGCATGAGCAGCAAGGGAGGAAGAGAAATACAGCTCCAGAGGTTTTTGTCCCAGAGGAAAGAAAACTGTGATTGTGCAATGCTTTAAAAAGGATATTACTATGAATAAGAAAAGCCTAATCATTTAAATGTATTAATGTGGTTTGATTAAATCAAGACTGAACAAGGTGTGTCTGAGTATGCAGCCTGACCCCTCTTCCTGCAGAAGATTCTCGATCTGATTGGATGTCTTGAAGTAAAAAAAAAATACTTCATTTGAAAACAAAAAGTCATATCCAGACATTGTTTAACAAAGTAATCTGAATCTTTAAAAAATGACTAAATAAATTAAAGGACATTTTATATGCACTATGTTCCTCATTTACTTAATCATACTGGGGAGATTGGGAGAGATTTGATCCAGTGTTATTTATTCATGGTCTGTAAAAGCATCTGATTCTGGTTAGGCACATTTTGTCAACCTGTAATGTGTTAAATGTGTACATTTGGGATTTGTACTTTATAAAAAGAAGTATAATTTTATGCAGAACTATGCACATAGTTTAACTCTAGTACTAATAATCAGCATTATACACTGTTTTAACATGGACTGAATATTTTAATTTTAACTAAACCCCAATGTCACAGGATAATAAAAAACCAAAAAATCAACATTGCTAAAGATGCTTCAGTAATACAAGCCAGGACTCAAGTGTATTGTTTTGATCTGTTTTCCTCCTCCAGCTTTCTCCTTTTTTTTGTTTTCTTTCTACTGACAGAAACAAAACAAAACAAAATCATCTAAGCACTTTTTCTTTCTCCCTTCCTCCAAAATTATGAAGTAAAACTAAATCAGAACTTTAAGGTCCGATCCCAGCTGCCCGCCTCAGTTGTGTGCAGCATGTGATCAGGTTTTCATCAATAAGTGGAGGCTGATTAAAAGCCTTGAAAACACTGATGTTGCAGTATGTCATCATGTTCAGTCTCCTGCATCATCACTCCTTATCCACTTCAGAGCCTCCTAGTGGCCACAGGGGCCATAACCAGCTTCCTAACCTGCTCCGTGGGTTTAACCAACCATAAAACTTACAGTGATAGAAGACACTTCCAACCATGTGGCACCAGGTTGTATTTCAGTGATTATTGGTAATATAAAAGATTATTACTCTAATTGAAATGAGAATGAGAATACAGACTTGGTAGAACAGACAAGGTAATAAATAGACGGTTAGAAAGACAGCTATAGAGACTGTGCTGGAGCCTTTGCACCGTTTTACTGTGATGGATTAGCTAAGTTGATCTGGCTTTTGTAAGCGCTCTCAGTAGACACACACACAGTTTCGCCTCTGTGTGAGCGTCTGTGTTTGCCACTCAATCATAATTGGAAAGCAAGAGCCCTGGTGGCCAGTTTGTCAAGGTGAGACTCGATTAGATCTGACAAGAGAGGGCGTTTTTTTCTTATTTTGATAGATTTGTGAAGGCTGTTTGTCTGCTACACTGTCTCAGTGGAGCTCCTGCAGATGTCCTTCACTGCAACGTTTGCATCCCAGTTTATGCTCATTTCAAAGAGGAAAGGCTTAAGTGCACACATATAAAACCCTGTGCTTAAGATTACTCTGGGAGTCAGTGGCACTTTGGTAGCATGCGAGAGCTGAGGAAGAGGCTCAGTAGACTTTCTGCTGAGGTTGTGGGTAAATTCTGATCAGAAGCTGACAGGTGAGGAGACCCCAGATGCCTCTTTACTGCAAAGTTGTTACAGTTTTGGTATTTAGTTTGCTCAGATCCACACTGCCCATTTGCATGTTAACCACTTGCATAGTGAATATCAGATGTTGGTATATGTTGGTTGAACCACAGTCCAGAATCTAAAGATACTCAGTTTACTGTCATAATAAAGTAGGAAGACTGTTGCAGCTCTGGTGTGTACTCTTTGCTGGTCTCAACCTATTTAGAGTCTTTGCTAAGAGCAGATGTAAAAATACCCAAATTGTGAGCCTGTCCTTGTACCCATATATTTGCATAAATTGTAGGTTGTTTCCCGCCCCTGTTCTCATTCCTTACAAACCGCACTGCAGTTCACTTGGAAGAAGATCAAGATCAAGATATTTCCACCTTAAAATTTTAGAGATGGATGAATATTCTTACTATGAGTGTGACTGCTTCATTTAGTGTACATTTGCTGGAAAGACTCAAACAGATGAATTGTTTATTTGTCTGTCAGAGATCTGTCACTAATATCTACTGTACCGTTTGTCAGTTTAAACTGAGTCTGAGGACAAAATGTTCACTTGCTGCCTGATATATCCCACCCACTGTCAGCAGGCGCCATGATAGCCAGATAATCTGTGTTATCCACTTCACCTACTATAAAACCTTTTCTGGAGACTTCTCACTGAAGGTGTGATTTTAGCAGTTATGTAATTGAATGGCACAAATAGATGTAGCTGTCACTACGGGATGTTCCCCTGGAGTCTCCGATCAATATTGTAGTGATTACATTGCAATGATTATTTGCTAATCTTCCCACTCAACTTCTGTTTTCCTCAACCAAGAGACAGCGACTGAGCTCTACTGCACGGAGTCCCTGCTCTTGTATAAAATTTCCCATATGTGTGTTTGTTTTGTGTGCATTGGGTGGTTGGTGCCTGTGGTGAGCAATCTGTGCAGCTATATGTATTTGCGTGTATATATTTTTCACATGCAGAGGGTTCATGCTTGGGTGAATTCGTAAGATTTTCCTCTCTGCTTCTGTGTGTTTTGACAGATGTAGGAAACCAGCTTAACTTCGTTTGAGTCCATAATTTTAGTTTATGAGTCATTCTGACAGTTCAGCCAGTTGCTACCAAAGCTCCTGCACAGCTTTGTCTCGGCTGTTGTTTGTGTTTCTTCTGGCCACAATGCATCAGTGGCTTTCTGGGGCAGACAAGGCACCCAGTAAAGCATTATTGCATTCTGCCAAGTTCGTGAAAAAACAGGACAAAAACTTAGAGAATCAGATTAGTGGGCTCTAGGGAATAAAAAATGAGGTCACAAACTTGATTTCCGACCTCCTCCTTGACTGTGACACATAACCCTGCAATGTCATGTCTGCATTTTTATCTTACATAATTGCATGCTGGGATAAGTTGGAGCATATTCCATGACTTTGTATTATAAAAGCGGATAAGGGCAGTGGATGATTGATGGTTGAGTTCTCAGATTTTTTCTCTTATAAATTTGTCAGGATTATATAGCGTGTTATAGTGTGACACTTCATTGATCCCCTCAGGGAAAATCTAGTTTTGCTTGGCTTCCTCTAAAGATATTTAAAGCCCAGTATCTGCTATAGAAAGGATTCATTGTTTTTGCTCAAAGATACCTCAGTAGGGCGGATGCTCATCTAAATTGTGACATAATCCTAGTTTATCCTGTCAAAGGACTATTCCTTTAATGACACACTCTAACCACCCATTTTGAGATACACAAGATTTACCATTGACTGAAGCTCATTTATCATTGTAACATTTTAGTTCCATGTATTTAATCTTTCCCACTTTTCCGATCTTTCCAGTTTTGATCAACACTAATATGGGAGCAGCTGTCTTTTAACTATTCAAATCCCATGCAGCAGAAGAGGCAGTTTGTGATTAAACCACACTCGAAGTGCCCCTTCACTCAAATTTGTTCTTCTTGTTTCTACAGTTCGATGTTTGAGCTTCACTGTGCAGAATGATGTATGTGCAGAGTCTGACACTAGAAGGGTGTTTTTTTACATTGATCTTGTGAAAGTGGAAAGTTTCTCTCTGCTTATTGAAAATCAGATTTTTAAGGGGCGGGGCCTACGAGCATGATTTGTGACATCACAAATAGTTAGGAAGTCGATCCTGGTCTAGTTTGCAGCTTATACAAGTGTGATGTAGAAACCTGAACCTGCCAGCATGCACATACTGAGAATGGACTTTACATTGAAGTAGGAGACATCTTGTGTCCAGCAGGAAAACTTTGGGAATAAACTAAATTTGTATATTCATAAATTCTATTATTATTATTTTGAATGCGGTGGAAGGAGGAGTTGCCTTTTTTAAGGATTTTGATTGGGAAATAATAAAATTTTTCCAGAAAACATATAATATGAGACACATATTATTGTTCCAGGCAGACTATTTGTATATGTCTTAATATGGGAGGGAGGGATAATAACGGAAATACTTTGATCTCCTCTGGCTGATGCTGCTTTCAGTAAATTTCATCATTTCAGTGTTTTGAATGCTGCATTTTGTAAGTATTTTATTTTCTGATGCAGACCGGATTTCTTTTGCCTTCTGCTGTTAAAAAGTATGTGCAATATTTGGACTGGATTTGACTTAAAGGCAGAAAAGGCAGTGTCTGTATTATTATAAATCTAAAAGGTTTTGTATGATTATGAGAGTCAGAGCAGACTAGAAATGGAATACATAAAGATTGAGTTCCCTGACTCAATTCTGCCCCCTGTTGTTGTAATCTGTAAGTACTGTCCTCTCATCAGTTTAATTTATTAGGTTAATAGTTCATTAGCTGTAATGATAAAAACTGAAAAAAAAACTATCCTATTTCTGCTATTTCTGCTCTACACCAACATATACCACACACGAACACACACACACACACACACACACACACACACACACCTATCTTTCCGCAATTATCCTACTTGCTACTTATTGCTCCCCTGACTCAACAGCTCCAGCTGCAGTTTATTTGTGTGTGCAGTGAACTGAGGATCCATTAGTGCCGGTGACTGAACCAGACCTGGGTCAGAATATTGACTTGAAATTTTCTTTTTCACTCTAGTACTGCTTGACCTGTGCTATATGTTTTTTCATACTGGACACATTTTTTGACACATGACATTAAGGTACAGCAGCTCGCCAAAAACTTGCAGTTTCACTATTTTAGTCATAACACTGTTACTGTGTTTGTAATTGAATTAAGTTCAATGTGTATATTAGCAAGGCTGGATTACCACCTGGGCAAAGTAGTCAAGTCCCCCCAGGCCCCAGTATATTAGCCAGAATTGAGCACAGAGATCACCATCTACACCAAAATGTATTTATTATCTAATTATGAAACCAGGTATATTAGACTAAATATTACTATGGTTGTTTTTTTCCCTTGTCGCCCACGTTGTTATTCATGTTGACATAATACATTCTCACTGAGGACAATATTGTCTTTTTCCTCCCTCTCTCTGCTCTGTAGGTAGTCTATCAACTTCATAGTTCAGTGAAAAATAGTCACCCATATCTGTTGGTTGATTCACTGCTAAACCTGCACTCAAGCTCTTTATGATATCAGGCCAGTGTCTAGCTTTATGGACGCAGGTAATAGAATAATTTAAACTAAACTAAACTAAACTAAACTAAACCAAAAACTATTGACAAAGACTAAACAACTGCTTTATTTCTATGTAATAGTTTTATGTAATCTTCTGTATAAGGGACAGAAAAGAAATAGTGGCTCTGTGATTATTATTCAGGTACACAGAATAGTGTTATCAGACAAAACTTACAACTTTAGAATTTAAATGAACAATAAAAACATTTTAATAAGTTTCTTATGCTCTATCTCTGTTATTATTCTTTCTTTATCTACTGCAGTCGGTCTCACTTCTGTCATCTGTGTAAAGTACTAAGGAGTGCTTGAAATTATTTCATTCACACACACGCATACTCTCTCTCTTTGTTATTAGAGCTGATATTTGACATCCTGCTGGGTTTATGACAGATGGCAGCAACAAGGAGCAGATTGGAACATTCATCTACTGATTTATTTTGTTTCTCGTTATTATTGATTACTTAAGTTGTTTATTCTCTATGCTGACTGTTGTTCTGTGGGTGGTTTAATGGATCATGACGTGCAATGTAGAAAAACATCAAAATGTAATATATGTATGATTTATAACAGTAACAGCGAGTGTGTGTATCACATTTGTTTGACTGAGTTATTTTGTTTCCATAAGTCATTATGGTCTGGTCGTGTTTACAGGATGTTAATATTTCCTTTGACTTTCTTTTTCTCTACATTACAATAAAATCTGAAGCTTAGAGCCAAGGACCTAACTGTGTGTAGAGTGTTTATATTTTGCACATTTTCTGCCCCTTACTGACCTTTTATGTCTGCCATTTCCCTCTGCTCTGCTTCAACAGGCATATCAACAGAAATGTCAAAATGAAAGGATAAAATTGTTCACTTGATTAAGTGAAAAGAAAATTAAACATTCTCAATGTATTCATTTCTCAAAGTGCCTTACTGGGTTACTGCTTAGAAGTAATTCATTGCCACAGCCTTTAAAGTATGTTAAGTTTAATTCTTCTTCTTCTTCTCTCTGTCTGTCTGTTCTTCTCCTCAGACTGGCAGGTTATGTGGAGGCCTTGGCGTCTCGGCTGGGAATGCAGATTCCTGACTTGAGCCCAAAGCAAGCTGACATGTGGCAAACCAGAGTCAGCTGTCACTCGGTTGGTATCATGACACCGCACTAAAACCCACAAAACTGTGACATGTTGTCTCTCTTTTCAGTTGTGTGTGTGCAAGACAGATCAACATAATATAAACAGAGTGGATATTAATTAACCTGCTGCAAAGGATTCCATTTGTTGTGTAAGGCATCACAAACATCAGTGCAGACAACAGAGAGACACCTCTGTGATGTGCCCTTTCTATCACTCATTCATTGTGTGAGAACATTTGACCTGAATGATTTTTAATATGCAGTTACTGCTGAAGTGTGTAATGTAATTAGCTTTAATTGGGTTGAGTGATTAGTCTAGCACTGAAAGGCTCTTGCCAAAGGCCATGCCAATTGTTCCGGCAGGATGGGAGTACCTGTTTTATTTTGTAAGAATATCAGGCGCTGCATTTTGTACATTTTGTAAATGTATCTTAATAGTCAGACAAAACAAAACAAAGTTCAATAAAATAAAAAAATATACAGTTTGATTAAAAAGTTGCTTGTATCTCATATGTAAGAGGCTTATTTTCTGGAGACGACAAAGCTGGAAAGCTTCATTTTTGTGTGGATTATATGAAACCAATTTTCTTGAAATGTATTTTCTCTGTATTGTTTTCTTACTTCCATTTCCCTCCGTGCAGGGTAAAGCCATCGGTGTTGGCATCGGCTGTATTCTCGGCATGTTTCCTCTACTGTTCTTCAAAGACGACGATGAGAAGAAAGAAGGCAAGAAGGGAGCGAAGGAGAAAACACAACCATCACCTGCTCCACCAGAGAGCAGCAAAAACTGAAACTGTCAACTCGGAGGAGACAAATACTATTTGGAATCCATTAGAATACTTTAGTATTAGAGACTTACAAGCCGTGTCTGGTGGACTGGAGTGTATGGAAACATTATTGAACCCCATACAGTCTAATCGCCGGGCACTTTGCTTTGCAGTCAAACTATCAAAGGTATTCTGAAGAGGATTTTAGATATTATTTGATTGTAGACTTTGAACTTAAGCACAGGGACCTGACTGTCACTTGACAAGAGACAGTTGATTCACTGGACTGCTGCTACTCCAACTATTGCTCTCTAACCTCACCTTGTTTTGACTGACTGACACGGGCTGAAGCTAATCTAATCTCTTATCTAAAACACACTGCAGTGACCTCTTTCTCCTTTCTGCTCCGAGCCTTTTGAGTATATAAACCTCTGAGTATAGATGGTTTGATGTCAAGTAAAGGTAATCAACCATTTGAGGGCTTGCTAGACTTCGGAACCGATGCAAGAACAAAAACACTCACAGCTCATTCAGAAAAAGAATCTGCAAGTGTCTTACATGGCATCTTCATTCTTGAATATTGTCAGAAGACGCATGCCAATTCAGTCAGCAGTGGTAAACCATGCTAATCAGTTTTGAGGGTGATGAGTCAACCAAATAGGGTCAATTTGCATATAAAAGATGCCCCCTTCCACACCAAGTACATAATTCTTCGGTTTTACAAGCATGTCTGCCTTTTGATGATGTCAGAGTCCTAAAAAGTCCCGCCGGCCTGCCTCGTTCACACTCCATGACACCCAATCAGCTTCGATTAATGAGAAGGCAGGCGGTTAAAAATGAAACACCCGCTGGCTGCTTCTTTAAATTTTTATGTTTTTTTTTTGTTGCTGATGGATTGATTGAACATTACATGCTTGTATTCTGTGTGATAATCACCAAAAGCAGTAACACGAACAAAATGTCTCCCATGTATACTGTATGCAAACAGGTAGGTGCAGTTCGACATAATCTAACCTTTTAAGGAACAGTTGACTATCCTTAGTAGAGTTGAGCAGGAAATAGAGAAATAAAGAGAGGCAGCTGGAGGAAGAGACAGCGAGTAGCTATGGGAAAAAGATAAGAAATACCATCACTGGACTACCTGAGACCTGTACCTGTACCCTGTGATTAATCTCCTCCAGCTCTGCATCGACCAGCCTGTAGCTGAACTGCAACACGTCTTCCACACGTGGTGAGACAGCACCAGGCCTCTCGTCCAGTTTCTGGGGAGCCACATATGGGTAGCCTGGTAGATTACATTTTTTCAAGTTTCAATTTGATGTCACACTAAATGAGTTGATTGTTACCCCATTTCCAGTCTGTGAAAAAGCTGTTACTGCTTTTAAATACTAAGGCACAACTTTTTTCCTATGCCTATAGATATACTATATTGTCTCTGCTCTACTGCCCTCTGCTGGCTGAAATTCAGAGAAGGTTGTCAATTCCTTTCAGTTTACCAGTACACCACACGTGATTGTGAATTATCACGTATTTGCTTTTCCTGTTTTGTATTCAAACTCCTCAATGTCTAGCTCCTTAGCTTCTCAGGCTATAATTCACTCTATAATTATTGTTCTTAATTATTGTTCTTATTTTGAAAGGCAAACTAGGTAATCTGCTTTATCTGCCAGCCAGGAAACATAGCAGTAAGCATTCATTTCCAAGTCTTAATTCAGCTGTCACTGATTTCTTAATTTATCTTTTGAAGAGTTCTGCTTGTCACCTGCTTGGCACAGGTTTGCTCATCTCATCAGCAGAACTGAAGACTATTTATGGCGTCAAATCTGTTTAGAAGTTCAAAATGAAAGGAAGAGAAGAAGAATTGAATTTCCTTGCAGAAAATGTATTTATTTTTGTTATAATATTCAGACTTGTATTCATGTATGTTCTCATTGTATATAATTTCTTTCTGAAAGGACAATGTTAAGAATTGAAGATAATTGTCAGCACAATCACATTCGTCAACAGGACGGGCTCTGCAACCATTCACTCTGTTACAGTCCACAACTGAACGTACTAAACATACTCTGAAGACTTAATCTGTATAAGATTGTTCTAGTTATTTATTTTTTGGGTAACAGTGATCCTAAACAGTAATAGAATGAAGAAAATGTACAAAGAACTGAACATATTTATGTAGTTAGGATTTTTGATCTGATTGCTTGATTTCCACCTTGCATGCACTACTAATAAAAAATACTATACTGTACATGTTTACTTTGTAAGGAGAATAAAAAAACATGGGTATATTCTAAACTTGTGCACTGTAGCAGGATACGAATCACTGGACGTGATGAAAACATTAGTAACTCAGGCTGGATTAGAGATCAGATTTTTGAATATTGTGATAAAAATATATATTTTATGGCTGTCAAAACAATAATAAAGCACAAGGAATCGCATGTGTTTCCCTTTTCAGACAGCCGATGATAAACCGTTCAAAATAGGATTGTGTGTTTGTGTGTATAGCCTTGCAGAGGTTTTGCAGATTGGTAACAGAGCCTTCTCCTACAAGGAGCAGTATGTTAAGAGAAAACAAAAAGTGATAATAGTAGTAGTTTCAAATAATAGCAATTTGCCTCCTTGTATTAAATCATTAAATTGCCTGTCTCAGTGCTTTAAGACTGTCTTTAGTGCACAGCCAGTCATGGTGAGAAAATATAATCTCAGTGTCAAAATACTGTAATTTGGGGGCCATTATCCTTTTTCGTATATTCATGCACTGCATCACTGAACTTATTTGTGGTTAAAAAAAATGAAATAAACACCTCCAAAAAGAGTTATCTTGAATTGATGTAATTACATCTTTAAAAACAGGTGGAATGTTAAATCAAAGATGACTCAAAAAGCACATTAACTTATTCTTCACAGGTTTCCACTTTGATGTGTGAAATGCAGGTCATGAGTACATACATTATTTTATTTTATATCTGCCAGTATTTGTATTTTGTATACTGTAAACCAGCTTCCTATATTAATTTGGCTGATACACATGCAAGTGATGAGTTATTTCAAAGTTATTTTTGCTCTCCTGTTTTGGAAGGCTTTACTATTTGGATATTTGGACAGGCAGGAGTCATTAGTCAGAGGCATTTCAGTATAAAGTACACAGTAGAGCTTCATCTCTTGACAGAAAAAACCATCAGTGCTGTTAAAGAAATTTAGTCATTTAGTTTCATTGCTGTGGGGTTTGCAATGTTAAGCTTTCATGTTAAAGCTTTTGATACAATAGATCACAAGATATTAATGAGTAAGCTGGAAAACTATGGTATTAGAGGTGTAGCATATTCCTGGCTGAAGAGCTATCTGGATAAACGGTACCAGTATGTAAATGTTAACACTGAAAATTCAGAGCTTCAAAAGGTCACCTGTGGGGTACCCCAAGGGTCAGTCCTTGGACCCAAACTTTTCATTCTCTATCTAAATGATATTTGCAGAGCATGAGAGCTGCTACATTTTGTTATTTTTGCTGATGACACTAATTTCTTTTGTTCACATAAAGATCTGAATGAGCTTTTGGATATAGTCGAAAGAGAATTGTATAATTTGAAAAAAATGTTTGATGTGAACAAACTGTCATTGAATTTAAGCAAGACAAAATTCATAGTGTTTGGAAATAAAAAAATCAACAATGAGGTTAAACTCAGGATTAACAAAGTAGAAATAGAGAGAGTGTATGAAAACAAAGTCCTGGGTGTAATGATAGACCATAAATTAAACTGGAAACCCCACATAAACTACATTAAAAAATCTAAAATATCAAAATCTATTGCAATACTAATATATGTAAGGACATCTTGGACCATAAATCATTATTAATTTTGTATTCCTCTCATTTTTGCTTACATCACATACTGTATAGAGATATGGCGAAATACTTACAAAATTAATACAAATTGCATTTTTTTGTTGCAAAAAAGAGCTATAAGACTGGTTAACAAGGCTGAATATACTCACCCCACCAATATGTTATTCGTGCACTCTCAAAATTTGAAGTTTACGGATTTGGTTAACTTTAAAACATAACAGTTAATGTATAGAGCACATTGTAAAACACTTCCAGACTGTATTCAAGAGTTATTCACAAAGAGGACAAGCATTTATCCACTGAGGGGAAATTTCATTTTTGAAAGGAAATGGGCAAGAACTAATATGAAAAGTAGAAGTGTGTCAGTGTATGGAGTGAAGTTATGGAATGATTGTGACATTGAATTGAAAGAAAGTAAAAATATGGGTTCATTTAAGAAATTATTTAAAACCAATACATTAGAAAGTTATGTAAGAAGTGAATGTGGGGATTTGTGAATTTTTAAAACCAGGTATCTGGATATTTATGTTTTTAGTTTGTTATGAGAACTTAAATTGTTAATTTATTTTACTTTGTCATGTTGAAAAGTCACTGCTACTGACGTAAGTTTTGTTTGGAGAAACTGAAATCATGTTTTAAAAAAGGATAGACAAAATAAGCTTAAGCTTCAGTCTACACCTTTTTTTCAGTCAAAGAAAACAAAAGAGAATAAAAGAGAAAATAAATAATTTGTAAGAGAAACATATAGGTATGAGGAGAAGAATGATGTTTTGTTTATATGTCTTGTCACTTTTTTCTCTTATCTTTGTTTTGTTTGTCTTGTTTTGTTTGCTGGTCAAGAAATTATTCATGGGAATTATTGTGAATTAATTTTTTAAATGATTGGAAAAATAAAACTTACCTAAACCTAAAACCTAAACCAATGTTAGTCAATCTCCCACTTTGCCCTGGACTGAAATATATAACTATTAGATGGATTGCCAGGAAATTGGACAAAAATTCATGGTCCCAAGAGAATAAAGTTTACTAACTTTGGTAATTTCTTCTAGTGCTTTTCCTCTTGTGTGGAGTGAGCTCTGCACCTGTATTGCTCAAAAAAAAAAAAAACCTTTGCTGCTTTGGAGCAATGGAGAGCTGAGATTGCATCAAAACCTCTGAACCTTCAACTTTTCAGGAGCTAAGAAAAAAGGTCTTGGTTTTGATTTAGACATCATGGGATTGGAGTTTACCCACTCAGCCTTTGGCACAGTTTTCTCAGTAATCCTTCAAACTCGAATTAAAACAAACAAGTCACAAAATTGTTATAAATTATAAATGAAACTTCAACACATCCACACAGATTTGATCTAGTCTCTGCTACACAGACATGCATGTACAGTAATTTATCTCCCTTTTAATCAATTTAAAAGTAATAAAATCTGTATGATACGGGTTAAAACCTGATTTTTACCAATGTCCCTGTGACATGGTGCTAAAAAAAACACTACTGTTTTCTGTCAGTGCTACGCTAATACAGTTTTTGTTCTAAAGTATACATTCAGTATGTGCTCTGTACATATGTAAAAAAAAAAAAAAAGAGAAAATAAAATCATAATTTAGAATGTAATAATTTTATAATTTACACGTATGTACACACACGTACACGTAGAATATGATCGGCCAATTCATGACACAATAACTGAGCTAGTGCTATGTGATATCCTGTTAGTTAAGGCATTTTGATCTAATAAGCACCCCATAGGCACATTGTCATCCTTAAGTCACTGTAGGATACAGCAGTGAGGTTGTTTGGCTGATAAAGTACTGAGAGCAAATAACAATAGTGGACATACTGACAGCAGATTTACTGAGATAATCTGCTGGTTCTTTATATGTGTTGGAAGAGTATTGTGTGTGGGCTCTATTCTTTCATTACAATCATTATGAATCATAATGTGCATTATAATGTTAGAAACAGAATGGCTGTTTGGATAGAGTTATGTGCTTACATGCATGGGTTATCACCACATTTGTTTCTATAATTAGAATTCACTGTAGCTGTTACAGCAATACAGAAACACCTTTCACAGAGAGGATTAGTAGTAAATGTAAATTGAATGCAGGTGGCATAGTGGTCATTATAGTTGCAAAGAAATAAATTGACTTTCATCATTGCATCAAGCGGAGAAAGTGATATTATTTATTTGATACAGAGCAGGAATCCAGTGGAAATCAAATTAGCTTTTGCTTTCTGGTAAATCAAGGCAAACTGTGGCTCCTTGCTCCAGCCATAGAAAACCAGTAGACTTACTGAAGCTGTGTATACAGAAAGAGCACTATATGTACACTGACAGAATACTGATGAATGACAAATGAAAGGAAAAACCTCAATAAATAAGTGTAGAAACATAGGTCCGCTGGATGGTACAATTAAGCAATTAACATCGAATCATGCTCATATAAAATGCTTAGCAGGCCCAGTTGATTCTGATTTTGTCAGAGGGATATTATAGTAGGGTTGCAGTGCATAAAGCCCTCTTTACAAAGATGAATGCACATTTGAGAGTTCAGTGAGTCAAAAACCATATTCTCGACAAGTGGCCGAGTGCATGTGTGGCGTGCACCAAGAAAGCTGTACAGGCCTGAATGCTGGACCCCTAGGAAATCTGGTAGCTGTCATGCTGTGGGCAAACTACAAGCCCGGGGGGCCATTTTCAGCCCCCCATCCCCCTCCCTCCATGATTTTATAAATATAATACGGCATGCAAGATTTTAATTTTTTTAAATTAGTTCTAGTTGTTTCATATTCATTTAAACTATTCTTTCATATACAATTCAAATGAAAACAAAGTAATGGCAAGGGTCAAAGGTGCCTGCAAATGCCTGCACCTTACTAATACTCTTTGTTGGTTTTTCCTTTAATTTGTCACCCATCTGTATGTTTTTAGAAATTTGACTTCTATATCATACATTTTTAAATAATGTGACCAATTAAATAACTATTTTATCTGTACTCCTAGGTTATATAACCTATATTTCTCCATAGTTTTTGCACTCAGTATGAAACTGATTGTCCTGTCTGTGCAGAAGTAAAGCAGGCAATGTAATCACTAAAGACCTGAAGTTTTACTTACAGCAATTTAAGTATGTTTTGTTGTTACTTGTTGTCATCTTTGTCCATTTACTTCTGTCCCCCTGGTTGTTATTAGTTGTCTGTTTTCCCCGGTTGGATCAAAACACGGTGCGTGCACACACCCACACAAGCATATCAGTGTCAGAAGGGAACAGACAGGTGACACAAGGGACAGAGGGGCAGGCATTTCAAGAATATCATCAGAGATTAAACAGCTTGGGACATGCGTTGCATAGAGAGGGTTTGACTTGATGGTGTGAGTGAGAATGAGAGTAAAATGTAACACATACAAAACAAATATGACTCACTGGAACCTACTGGATCCTAAAAGGTATTTTATATTTACATCACTTAAGTTAGAATACAAAAAATACATTATTAAGTAAATTACATACCAACTTAAACAAAACATTTTTATATCAGGAAATTCAAACTTCGACAAATAATAATTTGTTTCACTGAAGCTTTATTTGTTATTGAAAAGTTTTTTATACCACTCACGCTTTCCTCTATACAAACAATACTAAAATGGAGCCATGGGGCAATATCAGAAAATATCACACACACACACACACAGTCAGTATATTTGATCACACACATCAACAAAAACACATACAAGAAACATCTTCATAATCAGTCATTCAAATAGCTGCTCATTCTGACAACATATTCATACTGTATATGTGCCACTCATCGCTCATTTCCCTGCACTAAAAACATTAGCAACAAGCATACATACAGTGCAAAGTACATGTTATTGATAACAACAGATTTAAGGGTTATAACTAGTTCCATATCAGTTAATAAGGACTTTGTCTCACAAAAACAGTTCTGTTATAACAAAGCCATACTTGGGAAGAGTGTTTTCACTTTTCAGCACTTCTTGAGGAGTTTAGGTACAGTCAGCCTTTGACAGTGGCTGTTGTGGGGACTAACTGTAACACCATTGGCATTTAGCACCAGTATTTTTCAGGCCAAAATGTTAAGAATTGCAGGCCTCTTGCAAAGAGTCTACAGGTCCCCAAAGCAGTCACTACTGAAGCTTCATCAACTCCAGGAAATTTTTCACTGTGTTGTTAAACATTAAACATTAAATATAGTCATCTTTTTCTCCAAAATGACCCAAAAGTTAAAAGATGTAGTCAAAAATACATTTCTTCTTATTAGCCAAGGGGAAATAGTTTGATACACATGCCCTCTCCTTCTTGTTTCCTTTAAAATCTCAAATAATTCCCATTATTGGTATTAACTGAATAATAAGTGTTAATTCAATACATGCCCACTCCTCCACACACTTGCCTGTGAACTGGGTACTTGTCACAACAAAGTTGAGAAGTGTGATTTTAAAATGACACTGATGTCTCGACAGAAAAATAGAAAACAAGTCTACATAGTCTGATGTTTTTTCTTGTAAAAAAAAGCCTCTACTGTGAGCCTTTACATATTAAGAACTAGAAGTTGAGTCAATGCCAAAACGGGCAAGTCCAAAGTATACATTTTTCCAGTAGTCAAAAAGTTTTGATTAAATTCCAAAGCAGGTAATAAAATGCATTTAGATTGTGTCTCTAACATGATTAACCACAAAAAGAGGTTGTTAAACCACAGGAAGAAACTGCATGTTCATTAGGCAACCCATATAATGCATTTAAAGGGACATTTTCAGTATGTCATCTTTACTGTGTACTGTTACACTACCAAAAATATATTCTTGCATTGCAACTTGTTAGCATTGTTAGCAAACCTTTTTAAGAACTGACCCCTAAATGTATTTGAAAGTTAACATGCTAGCCTGCAGCAGATAGCACCATTACTATCCAAGCCACCGTGCCACTTTTAAAAACTCCCAATGCCAAACCTCCCATGAGTGATCAATTCTTGATCCAAAAAAAACAACAAATAATGAATGAAGTGCTTAGCTGATCTGTCATCATAAGCATCACCCTCTGATTCATTGTAATATAAGTTGAAAAATATGGTTTCTGCTCATGGTTGGTTGAAAGTTGCACTGGGAGATGCTGCAGCGTGACCATTTCAGTCAGTCCCAACTGGCCTACCTTCATTACTTCAGCAGAGTTCAGACAGTACAAACAACCAGCAGATGTCTCTGTTAAATCAACCTGCCGCTGTTGATAAGCTCTGGTAGATCACCAGTTTTCAAATGTATTCTTTCACAGAGCCACAGAACAAACACAGCACCCTGCTCCTACTGAGAAAAAATACGTTTGATATATAAATTCCTATTTTTGTTCATACTTTCCATTCTTTGAGTGTGCAATGGCTTCCTCCCAAAAAGAGAAACATCAAATGTATTCTCAGCTTCACCTCAGCTTTTTATTCAATTACTCTGTACCACAATAATAATAATAATAATAATAATAATGACAATGATAATAGGTATCCAGCACCTATCACATGGTAAATACTAACACATTAAGAACTACGGCACTATTAAATCCCCTACTGCTTCAGCACACAAAGAGATTTTGTGGGGAAAGTCTGACTACGTTCATTAAGTTATTGAAAATGTGTGCTCAGATTGCAGCATTTCATCACTTGTTACAAATATGCAATGCAAAACAACATAGTTGTTGTTATGTTGCACAATGTATTCTTCAGCTATTTGTTAGCCTTTCCTTTATGTTTACTCGGGTATAGCTAAAGCCCATGATTATAGATAGTGTTTACTTGTTCTACAGCATAGTGAAGCCTCCTCACCAGGAGGAGTTGAAATGTGGCCTTAAAAGACTAGTAATGGTTTCACTGGACAGTTTTAGAGCTGCATGGTCTAATTGGTATTTCAAGTGTCTTTCCCCCAAGCTGGTACAAACTAACAGTGGGAGAAATACCGACACAGTCCACAGTTTTTCATGATAAGGTCCACCCACCCACACACACACACACACACACACACACACACACACACACACACACACACAAGGGTTCTCTCTCCTCTTGGTATGCTCTTTTGTTGTGCCACACAAGGGCAGCCTTTGTATGCTATTAAACTGTGACCAAGTATGAGCGTGTCTAAGAGAGAGTATGCATATTTGTTTCCTAGTGTGTTGCCTGTTTATGCATGAGTTTGTGTTTGTTTGTTTTTGTGCGCGCTGGTATTTATGCCCCGTTTATGAGCTGCCCTCTACTGTGCTGGCTTACATCCCATCGGTTAGTTGGACAGCGCAGATAGAGGACAGGAAAGAAAGTGAGCCTCCTTTCTCTCTTCACTCTGTTGTATTGTTTGTTGGAGCAGGCAGGCTGGTGTTGAGATGGGCAAAGGGGGGGGGACAGTGGAGGAGAGAGGGGGCAGGTGGAGGGGAAAGTGGATGGAGGCCAGCGTCCTGGTGGTGGGGCCAGAGACGTTCCCTCAGCTAATGTTTCAGTTTGCAGTCTGCCTGCTGAGCTTATGTTTGATGTATTGTCTCAATCTCACTGTATGGTAGAAAAGCTTTGCCCATGAACATCCAGTGCCATAGGTTGACATCCTGCATCGTCTTGTACTGTCAAGGTTTTAGTCCTAACTCTTTACTTTGTCCCAAAAATAAATAATACAATGTTTTCCCGTTTTAAATTGGTTGAATGCCCTTAAGGGATATTCACTAGTCTTTGAGAGAACACCATGGACTGAGAGTTTGGTAAAAGAACGTGAAGAGGGGGGTTTTCAGTCTACTTTGTCATTGTTGTTGGAGTGAACAGGCTGGCACTGGGCTGAGCATGAAGACGAGAATGGGGAGGGGGAAAACGTTTTAGTGGTGGCAGAGGGTTCCCGGGGTTTGTGCTTATGATGCAGGGCGATCGCAGCCAGAATGCTAATGATGTGCACGTGGAAGTACATAGACCTAGGAAAGAAAGGAGGAAAAAAGAGTGTAACTTCTGTAACTTATACCATCTATATGCCACAAAAAGCCTGCTAATATATTTACACTAGAGCTGTAATTATTACTTGATTGCCAGAAAATACATCAGCAGCTGTTTTGATAAACAATTAGTAGTTTTCAGTCATTTTGCCAAGATTCTTTGATTCCAGCTTCTCAAAAGTGTATATTTTTGTATGTAGAGTCTTCAATGATAGTAAACTGAATATCTTTAGTTGTTAGTTAGACTGTTGGTTGGGCAAATCAAGACATCTGAAAAAGTCAGCGTGGGCTTTGGTAATTACTGATGTGCATTTTCAAAATTGGGCTTGAATGGATAAGAGGACTGAATGTGATTATTACATACCTGTAATAAATCAAAGTGGGCTCTACTGCAAGAAGTAGAAAAGGCATGACAGTGTAGCAGATGGCTAGCTGGGTGGCTGCCCAAGTTAAGATGTCGTAACTCAGTTTCAAGGCTCTAGAGGCCAGGAAGTAGTGGCGAACAGACTTCCGTACCTGGTGGGGAGAGACCAATGAACAGAAAAGGATAAGTAACGTTTTTTGCACCATTGAAAGGATTAGTGTATTTAAGCTATGCTGTTGATGTAATTCTAATGAACCCAGTTAAGTTCCATGACAAGAATTTATTACGTTCCTTCCAAAAACTAAAGCTATATAATTTAGTTTGCTGTGGTATAATAATGTTTATTTACTTTTTTAGTGTGTGTGTGTTTTGGAAATTTAATAAAGCTATCAACATTTAAATTGCAAATGGAAAAATGGAAAAAAAACACTGATTATCCAATTTGTAGACTGTTCATTTTCCTTGGAAGTGCACAGTGAAGTATTAATTAAAATTTCCAGAGGAGGTACAGTACTCACAGTTCGTGCTGCCATGGTGATTGGGATGGCAGTGATGAAGGTGAAATAGTACCCAGGATAAACACCGTGCCACAGGGCAGACAGGACGAAGGTTAACGGCAACCTGTGCCTAGGGGCTCGGTCATAACACACCCTGAGCAGATGAAAGGAATGGGACATATTCACAAGAGTTTGTGAAATGAAAAGCTAGGAAAGCAAATGCTTCTGAACCGTGCACGAGAATACTGAAGTTGTAGACGTACTGAGGCACTTACGTTTTGAGCCAAATTCCTGTTCGAATATTCCAGTTGTCTATAAATGTCTTGAAGCTGGTTGCAGTCTAAAGAACACAACCAATAAATAACAATTTAGTCATTGCCAGACTTAAATAACATAAAATTACACGAAATTTAACACAGCAATGTTCTGTATGTTCTGTTTTTTAAATTATGTTAAACACTGAAGGTACCTCAATCCCCAAGATGTTAAGGTTGCACATGAGGTCCCAAGATGGCTTTCCATTTTCATCCATTCCCAAGAAACCATAACCTGCAGCGTTGTTGACTGCATCAGCTGACAAGACGGAGAAAAAACACATGACTTACATGGCAGTAACAATGCAGCTCATGTTCCCATCGTCACACCATGTCATACCAGCTGACAATAGGCCAACTATACACACAGGGCTCACCTAGTGTCCAAGCAAAGTAGAATTTGGGCCTTGCTGCTTGTATGGAGAAGAAAGCGTAGGTGAGTCTGGTGAGGAAGGGGGTCTGGCTGACAAAGTGGGGGTCTACGTTGTACGTTATCGGCAAGGACCGGGTCACAGTGAGGAAGAACAGCATACAGCCGCAGCAGATCAACAATTTTTTACAGACTGCGCTCTGCAAAGAAAACACATACAGAAACCAAATATTGGTTTGTTGCTCAGATCTACTGAATCAATTCACTATGTCCATCCACTCCTTAAAAGTTCAGGTTACACTTTTTCCTTTAAACTGAAGGATGTTCCCGATTGGATATGTGTACACCTCTGGATGCCCAAATACTATTGGACCTAGAGGAGACTAATGTAAATGAGTCCACATCAGCCAAGAAATGTCTCATTTCGTTATTGCTTTATGATGAATTTATTTCAGATTTCAGACCAAATACAGAATTTGAAATTAGACACTTATTATTAGTAGTGTCACATTCACACAATACGGTGTCAGTGTGCTCTGTCTCACAATACACCAACTGCTCACTAGAAAAGTGTGGTCTAGAATAGACAGACAGATTTAAAACCACTCCTACTAGTCCCAGGTAATGTTGTCTAATTGAGTAAAATCATGAACTTACCAGAGGTGACGGGTCCGGTGTCTTATCATAACCGTTCTGACCATTACATGTCCCAGAGTGCTGCCTGAGCCTCCTGCTGATGTGTTGGCCCTCTATGAAGTCTGTGTAGTCCTTATAGTTAGTGCATGGTCCCACCAAGATACTCAGGAAGTTCAGATTGTAACTCAGGTATTCGATGAGAGAAGGCCTCACACTGCAGAAAGAACAACATCAGAAATCACTGAAAACAAAACCGAGAACCCCTTTACTTTCAGCACTGACTGCAGTGATCACTTCAGGTGAAATGCAACAGTGTTAATGTATATTTTGATCTAACTTGGGTGGAGATGTGAGAAAAGCATGCCATTCATTTTTAAATAATAAAAACAAAATCATAATTAAAAAAATGGCCCCTGTAAACATGTATTATTGCTTGGCAGATAAACCTTTACATAAAAGCAAACATTCTTTGACTGACAAAAAAGTTACTTTTTAATATTTTACACCAAGACCGTCCAAATGTTATAAATTAGGTTTTGACTGGTTCCTTGGGCCCTCTGATTACAGCAGTTACAAAGTATTTTAAAGGAACCAGGAAGTCAGAAATGTACTTTTTATTTAAGTTTATTCATTCATGAAAGCAAAGTATTGACCTACTGAGCTTCAGTCTACATAGCTGGTTACACGTGCCTCAAAGCTTGTATATAATGTTTACAGTAAAACCAGAATTGATAAATAAAAACAGAATCAATAAAACTTAAGTGATATCCACACCTACAGGGAGCACAGAAAGAAGTGAGACAATCACTAAATTTAGAGCAACTATGTGCTATGATCATTTTTAAATTAACTCTAAAATGGCATGCATGGTACACTGATAAATGTGGTTTTATCACATCACATGCATGAACATGTAATATTTCCCATGCAAAATGAAGCCTCTTTTCTAAGTCCCCAGCATGCTTTTTACATGAACAAACTATTCACCATGATTGCATCTCCTTGTCATTGTCCTTTGTGGCTAAAGGAAAAGAAACAGTTATTCATTCTTTAAATAAGGTGTTAATTCAGATGCAACCTTCTGTGCATGCATATATACTTTGACAGGGAGATTAGGTCCAGTACAGTGTGAACTATTGTATGTGCACCTCTAAGGACAGATGCAAAATATACATCTATTAAATCAGTAAGGAAAAAAAAAGAGGAATCAGAAACCTCAACTTTATTATTATTGTTACTTATCTCCAAAAAGTCTATATCCTGATGTTTCACACTGCAACATATAATTACCACTGACAGTAAAAACTTACTTTATAGCCAGAAGCTTCTGCTCCGGGGTCAGTTGTTCAGATTTCTTACACATACCTGAAAAATTAGAGATGAACTCATCAGTAACCTCCATTTCACCAAACAATAAAATTAATGATGAATAAATGAATGAATGAGTTTCAGGGTCCTCGTATTGCATGCTGGTTTCCTGTCATGCTGTCAGAAAGTGTGCAGTGAAAGCCAGGCTTAATCTTAAATGTTAAGTAATTGTGAAAGAATGTTGCCTCCACTATTTAAGGTCCAGTGTGTAACATTTAGGAGGGTCTATTGGCAAATGATATACATTGGTATGTTTTCATCACTGTATAATCACCTGAAAATAAGAATTGTTGCTGTTTTTATCTATAGAAGGAGTGGGTTCTCTTCAGATGCCACCACGTTGAACCAACATGTTTCTACAGTAGCCCGGAATGGACAAACCACATACTGACTCTTGATAGGGTCTTTTTTACATGTCTACCGTAGCTTCTACTACATACTTGGAAGGCTGAGCTGTATTCAAATGGTTGTAATCTGCAACTTCACCACTAGATGCCACTGAATACTACACACTGGTCCTTAAAAGGCGTGTGCGTGTGTGTGTGTGTGTGTGTGTGTGTGTGTGTGTGTGTGTGTGTGTCTGTGTGTGTGTGTGTGTCTGTGTGTGTGTGTGTGAGCATCCTCTCCTCTGCTTTACCATCATGGAGCTGAAAAGCCAGTGTTGTGATCTTCTGGGTTACTATCATCAGAGGTCTGAGCAGAAAAAAATAAAAGTAATTTTATTGTTGTTGTTAATTTCCAGTAGTGTTAAAGCAGGTCACTTATTCATCCAATGCAATTCATTCGAATCAACACATTTTCATGTAATCTCCCTTTGAAACCAGTACAGCTTTATCTTGTTAAGCTCCCATTGAACACAAATATAGTAAACTAGGTGAACAACAGCCAACAGCTGGTGTTTCAGTTTTAATTTGGTTTAAGTTATCAGGGAGTGAGGTGACATGGAGGGCAATGAGGTCCTGTACAGTAAGACTGAACAGACTAGTTTCACACCCCCTCTCCTGGTTTTATCCACAGATAGAGACCTCTCTGTCCCAAGAATGCGTGTGCACAAAGACACGCATAAACTACATCTCTCCCTCTCACAAACACACATACACACACACACTCTCACTCTCACACACACTGGTTCCTGTGTGTGATTGGGCCACATTGTGTGCACTGCATGGAAAACCGAGGCAGAGGGGCTGGCCGAGCGTCTGGCAGTGCCAGCTCAATGAGAGTTGGCAGTGGGCTTTAGAGAAACATTTTCAGGGTGTGCAACCTTCACCACTTTAGCCTACAGACTCTGTTTTTCCACAAAGACTCAAAGATTGGGACTCTAGACAAGATTTTGACCTAGTTCAGATTCAGTTCTGCCTTTCTGCCAAATTCAGAAAACATCAGCTTATGGAAATGCTCACTGACAAAAGGGACGATAGCACACAGACTGTAGAGACAAGCTCTATATTAACTGTGTTTGGCATCCTCCAACAGCGAGAGAAACACAACATGTCAAGGTGATAATGAGGACAACACAACAGTAGAAAACAGATAATTACCATAAATGAATAACATAAATGAATGGTGTAAAAAAATAAGCCCACATAATCAAAGAAACTTATTTTTAAGTACTTCCTTTAGCACTGGATTACTTCATCAAAGCCTTTGTGTGAAGTTACACATATGAACATCATCTGTGTGATTCACAACCAAGTATGTGTGCAGTCTGAAAGCTTAAAGAAGCTGTATCTGTAATTTAATATACGACCCTCCCAAAGGCTGACTCACAGGCCTGGCTGCTCATCACCAAAGTCACGCGGAGTACAGTTGAGGCTGCCAGCAAATTAATCCACACCAGAACTGGGCAAAAAAAGTCGCTGAATACAGGAGCCACCAAAGCCAGCTGTTACCTTTTAAAAGAAACACTATCACATCCACTCTGGAATTATTTTTTTTCCAGTGGTACCACTCCTCGGGCATTATCCTAACTCCATGGTTAGTTAAATATGTGTTTTTCTTTAGTTAAACCAGGGAGACCCAACTGTGGTCCACAATGAAATAACCAATATGTTATAACCCTCTTTATTAAAAGAATCTACATGCCATCAATGTGAACATAGCTATTGAATTAAGTTGCAGTGAATGCCTGTGGGCAAAATTCAGATTTTAGTCATTTTTGATGATGCAATCCTTCATTTATGAAATAATGAGCAATGACAGAGGAGTTACTGCCCATCTTCCTCTCCTGTTACATTAAGTTTTTCTTTTAGCACTTCTTTAAGATTCTTGAAGATGTACCGTTGAAAAGAAACCCTTTAAATAAAGAGACTGTCTTATCCTTTAGAAGAAGCCTTGTTTCTAACACAACAAAGTCATAGTTGCCAGGAGGCAGCGAGTACCTTAACTCTACCTGTCTGGGCAGTGTCAACTGTGAACAATCCAAACTGCTGCTTTTTAATCAGTGGTGTCGTATTTACACAAGGTTGTGGCGCTGGTGGCTATGTGAACAGGTACAACACAGTTTGGAAACGTTAACTGATAACATTAGAATTGCTTTATAACTGAAATGACTAATATGCTGTCCCCACAAGGGTGTGGCAACGAAAAAAGAAGAAGTGAGGCACCTGAGTGATTACATTTTTCTCCTTACCCAGAGAAGTCAGTGGACAGTATTCCATAGTTAAAGATGAAGACTCTGCTCACTTGGCACACTGTCAAGTAGCCCATAGCCGTCACCATGGAATACCTGTATGTGGAGGAATGGACAAAAAGGCAATTAAGATGTTCTGGTGATAGATATAATACCAGTAAATATGACCAAGTAGACCTGCCACATCTTGTTTAATCCCGAACCAGTTGGTTGAGTAAGAAATGTCTTTTTATACTGATGAAGGTATTAGTCATATGAAATTACATTATGGAATTTGTAGCACATTGGCAGAATTAGCTAAATATACACTTATATACACTGTATATTTGTGTCTTTGCCTTGCAGACGCAGACTGAGACAACCATATGGATGTCTTTCTTATGTGTCCGCATGCAGATGAGCTGAGCTGTGTTCATGGATGTCTACTGTATGCGCCACTGTATGCGCTCCTGTATGCAATCAATCAACAGTTTCTTTCAAAAATAAGTTATTTATCAGTTGCTGTGGCTGTAAACATTGTTAGAAATGTGTCTGAAGTAACCATCTCAATTATTGTGCAATTAGTGACTTCAAAAATATGTCAGTGACAAATGTAGGAAAAAGAAAAATCGCTGAGTAATTACTAAACCAGTTCAAGGGCAGAGAAATGTTTAACACCAGGATCACCGCAAACAAATTCCTAAAAGTCACAAATATAGACATTATAACCTAACAGAAGGATTACTCAATTTCTGTAGGTGTGCACTAGAGTTTCCTGAGATTGTCTTGATTCATTCACAGTTACCTCCTCTCACCCTATACCAGCGTTAAAGAGGTGTGTAATGTGGTATGTATGTTTAACCTGAGACACAGTTTACAATGTGTTTTGCCCCCACGTGTACAGAACAATACCGGCTTTCATCCTCTTCCAGGTACTGCCTTTACTCGTAAATACCAGAGCCTAATACTAATAATGGATACCTAACCATTCCATTCATTGAGAGAAAGGAAACTACACACACACACACACACACACACACACACACACACACACACCAAATATGAAGTAACACTTATGGACATTTACAAAGCTCCACATACACACGTGGCTGCAAACAGATATATAGACAAATAAACACACACACACACATACACACACACACAGTCCAACTGTCTCCACTGATCTAGCAGACTGGTCCGGCTGGCATGTCAGGCTGCCTTTTAACTGACGTGTTTTACGTTAGTTTCTTTCAACAGCAGTATTTTAGTTAGGGCTACACTTTAACAAAAAGATAATGGGGCGGGATGCACTGCACTGCAGAGTGTGCTGGAATGTGTGGGAGGGAGTAATTGAATGGGCAGATTGAAAAGGTGTGAGCAGCAAGAAATGTTTCAAATTTCAACGTCAAGAACTGCTTTACAACATCTACGTTATCAATATCATTGCCCTCATGTTGATGAAGCATCTGCCTGCTCCACAAAACATGCGCCTATGACGTAAATAGTTTCTGGGCTGAGCTTGTCGGACAAGTTTTACCAGGAGACAATAGTAACTATTGCAGATATATGATGGATGTGAGATGCTGCTGTGGTAGCAGTTCTGTCATCATGCAGGTGGATGACAGACATGCAGCCCGGTCTAGAAATACCGCATGTGGCAACTTATTGATTGAAATACAATAGGATTTTATTTAACAACGTTAAATAATGTATGTCTATGTTTAGATATAAAAAAGCTACAGCTGTAACAGATCACAATCCATTTTATAATCCAGCATTTTGTCTTCGTAACATATCTTTATCCCAGACTTCAATGTGGATTTCCCTTTGAAGTAGACCAACACTTACTTGTGTACATTGTTGATGTCAGCATTGATGATGATCAAGTAGCTTGCAACCACTACTGTCAGGATGTGAGCTGAGTACCTGTATAAAAGAACACATACTATCAGATTAATATTTGAATAATACAGTGTTCTTTAACTAAAATTAAGTGGGCTGTATGCCTGAGATATGATACAGTGTGTGTGTCAGTGCAGCCTAGACATGTTTGCCCTAAATAATTGTACTTATGGGTCAAATTCCACAACAAACATTTCACCTGTCTGTCTCCATTGTCTGCCCTCTTATTGTCTACAGCCTCATTGTCTTCCTATAATTATAAGCCTGTGGTGTTGCTGTCTACTGTCAGAAAAGTAGACAGAACTCAATGGTCAAACTAGTAAAGATAGTTAACTATCACATATTTTCACTCAAAAACATGTTGGTAATCAAGGCTTCTTACTGACATGCGTGTTAATGGAGAGGTGCAGCATCATATGAGAGAAGTCGAATGTGTCAGTATCATACTGTACCATCCAAAGCAGAAGATGAGGAAGGCAATGCCGAGGAGAGTGGCCACGGCGTGCCTGACCAGGGGATTGGCATGGCTAGGACTGAGGTAGAGACGAAACCAGAAGGCAGCAGCCAGGGCAAACAGCTGACACGCCAAAAAATTCACCTGTGTGGGAGACACAGAGATTAGGATGCTCAAAAAATATTCATCTAGCCTAAATGTCCTGTTTTTTCCAAAGCTGACGATAAAAACTCCTATTACTCCTATAGGGGGCTTGCTGCAACATGATGCAACCTTATAGCCTAATGAGTTTTTCCCCACTTGCTTCATCATCCTCGGTGGTATTAGCAGTTCTACAAGGATGTATAGTTTGCCTGTGATATAGTAGGTGAAGTAGACTTATCCAATTATAAATGTGAAAGAATCTAACTTTTAAACTTTGGCCTGCAAGTCTTCAGTTACTAGTGCCATTTTTGAAGAGAAAACATAGAAATCCTCTCATCTATAGCATTAGGAACTGCAGTGTGGGCGTCGATGACTGTTGGGAACTCACCGCATTTCTCTCCAACAAGTGACACAAAGTTAATTAACAGGATATATATCCATGACACAGAGCACTATTTATAAGTTGTTTCATGGTCAGATACTCCTACCTGATCAAGAGGAAAGCCCAAGATCTCACTGACAGGCAGCAGCCACTTGGATCCAGTGGTGTTAAACGCAGTGTCTGCGCGCTCGCCCATCCTACGTAGTTTTCCTCTGGCGACGCCTCAAAGTTCCCACTTATCTTTTTCCTTCTTTTTTTAACTAACTGCTTACTATTTTCTGTGACTGACATACATTGTTTGACGGAAATGCCCCGTGACAAGTCAAACCAGTCCACAGTATGATAGACCTGGCATGGCACTCCCTCCTCCTTCTCCTCCTCCTCGGCCTCAGTACCAGTCAAATCTCACAGAGACAGATTCAGAGCTCTTCCGGTCACTGCTTCCCAAAATAAAAGCCGAGTTGGCGAACGCGCAAAATAGAGGTTTGGACTATTTTAGCCTACAGCATACAGAAAATGTACTGTCTGTAAGGAGAAGCCTGTTATACAGTCAACTTAAAGACCTGCCACTATAAAAGGCGACGTTTAATTAATTAAAATAGGGCTAATTCCCATACTTTTTATTTTATTTGTGTCCTCCTTTTCAAAAGTATCTTGTGCTTTTATTTTTAAAACAAATAAACTGAAGCGTGAGTGAACATTATATTTACTTGGGAACATTTAGGTAGGTCATTATAATGTAATAAAAAAAACAAAAAATCAAAGTCACGTTACTTCCGGTGTTTTGCAGATTCTCCAGCTTGGCGCTACATGAGTTGACGAGGAGGCTATTTCCCCCTGCCGTACTTAATATGAGTGTTTTGCTGGGGAGTCTGGGTGACAGACAACAATAAAGTGTTTGATTAAGTTATTCAAAGACTGAAATCGCCTTTGATGCTCTGTGGTAACTAAAGTAAAGGTGATTGCCACAGGCATCCTCATTGTAAGTGACAAATAATACATGATAAGACTTCTCCTGCTTCCTTAGAGTTTAGATGTGAGGTTGCCCAAATCGTATTTTAAAACTGATGAATTAGTAGGCTATGTGTGTGTTGCAGATAGTATGAAGGTCATCTGTGAGGCTCTTTCCACAGAGACCAGGACATGCCTTGCAGAGAGGGGGGAATATATATTTGTTAATTATGGTGCAGTTTAAGCTGTGAGTCATAATTATTTGCCCAAATGTCAAGTTTTGTCAGTGGCTCCCTGGAAACATACTGTGCACGTTTTGAGACCAAAGGGTGACCTTTTTAAAGTGAGACACCAGTAATAAACAATTAATGTGGCATTTAATTGATTCCCATGAGGGAATTGTCTCCTTTTTTGTACCACTCAAAGGGTCAGAGGTCAGGAGCAGCTGTAAAGGCCCATGCTGGGTCTTAAATGCCAAAGGTAGCCTTAAGTGCGCTTTATTTCGGCTTGTGGTCTGGATCATGTTGAAACATGAAACATGTTTGCTTTGAGTCAAATAATGTCTACGGCATATATGGAAAATTGGAAGCACTGACCAGAAACAAAGAAGGACAAAAAAAAAAAAAAAATCTGCCAATGTTTAAAAGAGAGAGGTTTGTTAACGTTACCAGAAGAGAGCAGAACATGTGCCCAGTGGTTTCAGTCAGCCCATACTCTGAAACTAACATACTGATCACAAAGCAGATGTACAGGAAACATACTGCACAACAACAAACATGATACTGTTGAAGTTTGATAACAATATTGAAAAAATAGAGGAAGATTCATTCTGTATTTTGTTAGTATTGTCACTTTTTCTCTCCACTCCTGTGCCAGCTGGTATAACTCTGATCTGCAAACACATCACCCTGTTCTCTTGGAGGATGTCAGTATTTAATGTCCATTCTCAGTTATAAAGAGGGGCAGCTAACATCATGACAGGGGCAGCAGACCTATCTCTGCTCCTTTTGCAAACTTTAGAACAGACACACATCTTGTGGCATGAATTTACTGCATCAGAACAATAGTATAGATCAAATAATATCAAACTCAAAAGTTAATCAGAATCAGAATCAGAAATACTTTATTGATCCCCGGGGGAAAATTTGTTCGTTCAGTTGTTCCACTCACACAACGTTAAAGAATAGTACTTATATACAATATTTAACAGACTATATAGAATAGAAGGAGCAACAAACAGGCAGGCACTATATTATATTATTTAAAATATAACACAAATATTATTATATCGGGACTAAATCTGGCCCCGTTAGTACATGGTCGTGTTTTTGTTCTACTCTCCGCTGCCTCAACTTCCACTTCCCCCCGGCTCTTGAACACAGTTGGTCTCTTGCGCCACTTCGCGTTCTGTCAGGGAACACGCAAGGCGTGACAGGTGACGTCGCCTGTTTACAACTGCCAATGAACACGTGGCGCACTGAATGCTGAGCTATCATTGGTCGACACGGCGGCGATGTGGGTGGGGACTCTACTCTGAAGGACCAATGGCGTCTGGCATGTAAATTCCGTTTGAAACTTTCCCGGGAAATCTGAGTTTCGCGGGAGGGCTCTTGAGCGCGTAAACCGTATCCCTTCATTCATCAGGCCGTTTCCTGAAGCCATTTCTAGACGGGGGAAACGAGAGTCGCGCTACTTTTTAATCCGTTGCATCTGCCTAAATGCACCTTCTTAAGGAAAAATACTTTACAAAAGTCGATGAATCAGACTCTCATCTTTACTTCGGTCTGATTATTTTTGTAACTATTGCGGCGGATTAATAGCCATACGGGCTTGAAAGTACAGAGACAAGAAAGGGGTTACCCCGAATACGCAAGATGAGAAGAGGGATCTCCTCGGCTCCGGACAAAGTGATTTTAGCGGGGGTTGGGGGCTCTTCTCTGGACAATAACATAATCTTAACAACTCTCTCGGATCGTTTAAACCCTGGTCAATCCAACGCTACGTTTATCCAAATAATAACCACCCCTCCGCCTTGCAACGTTACACAGACATCAAATGTGTGTTTATCCGAACCTCAGATAAACAACATTTACACAACTCCACAACAAGCTGCAGCAAACGGAGCAGGACAACGACCCGCTCTGGGAAGACCGCCGGTAATCATCTATACAGCTCGTTTGAACATATCTGGCTTGCTACAACTAGCCACAAACACGACAAAATGTTAGCTTGCTAGGCTAGCCCAGCTTGTTGTTCGGGCAGCTAACATTAGCTGCTTAGCCAGGGCATTCCCACGACTCAACCTAGCGAGGTGGCTAACTAACTACCGCTAGCTAAGTTACACAAGTAGGTTGGTTAAGTGTTTTGTTGACTGCAGGCAAGCAAACGATGAGTTTAAGTTAGTTTTGCATTTACAGGAGCGTAGATCTGTCATGTGTAGCGTGCTATGCTAACTTAATGGTGCTTTTGAGTCCGCTTCACCCTTGCAGCCAGATGGAAATATTGGTAAGAGATGTGTAACGTTAGCGGTGGCCTAGTGGCTGCTGTTGGTGTCTTAATTTGGGTTTTTTTGGGGGGGATTGCTGGGCTCCTTGGCTCTTAGTTAGCCATTTTTTAGCTTTCTAACAAGACACGAGTGGCTAAACTTGCCAATACATGGGCTTATACGTAGCTAAAGCTTCACTCCAGTTTTGAAACTACTCGATAGATATTTATCCCAGTCGTCTCTGAACATGCAAGCCAACTTGGATGAAGCTTGAAAATGTGTGTTAGCTTTCAAAGCTAGCAGCAGTATTGATTATTAGGACAACATCACACGTTGTCGGCCTTGACATTAATTTTTCACAAGTGTTTTATGTCCCTCTCTTTGTAAATAAAGTGTAACGTTATGGTGCCTTTCATGCCAAGTAAAGTGAAACTCGAGTTTGTTGCTTTAGTGCTGACTGCACGTTTCCTGTATTCTCAACCTGCACAAACCACACAAAATAGTTTCAGCAGCATTCAGGGTGTTGGTTTGTTCCTGGCTATTCATCTTTCATGAACTAAACCAGCCTCTGTATCTCAGGCTGTAGCCATGACCAGGCAGGGGGTGAGGGGGAGCTGCTTGCTGATATAAAATGGCTGACATTTTGACTGTCAACAGAGGGCATATTATTCTTTCTCAGACATGGGCTAGATTAAGTGAGATAAAGTATTGAATATGGGGTTTACTCTGCTTAAAATAGTAACTATTTCCTGAGGGTTAGTTGACATACCCCCTACACAGGGTTTAGAGGGAAATGCAGTGGACCAGCACCCTAGTTACTGGTGTGTTGCTCAAAGACACTAAAACAGAAGTCCAAGGGGTTTCCTGGTTGAAGAGGCTACTCACTGAGCTGCCATACCATGTGTGGCTACCAACAGTGACTATAAGTGTTGTTGAACACAGCCTAAACCTACTTAAACATGGTGTCAAGTACTACAGTTGTGACAAATTGTCCGCTATTGCTGAAACCATAGGAACATTCTTCAGCTTTTGTCAGTGCTATGATAGAAGGAATTGGTTGTGACAGGTTAGGCATTGACAACTTTGAACTTAACATGAATGTGCACATAGGTGGTTAAAATTCTTGATTTTATCCAGACACAGTAAGAGTCCCAACTGCTGTTCAGAAAGGGCATTATTATTTGATTCTAAAATCTGAGTGGTTAGGCTACAGAAATGTATTCCATGTTTGGACAGTAGGTTGGGATGTCCTTTTGGTAATATTTAAAGTGTCTGGGTTAGTTATGGCGCTGGGTACACACTGCAGTGGTTTTCTTTGTGCAGCAATGTGATCATGCCAATAGGTGTGACTCACTCTTAAATTATGTGGAGAGTTCAGAAAAGAAGGAACTGGTTTTGCACTGACATGGTTTCTCCCCGATTCACTGGAATTTTAACAAACACTCTTAAATGCATTTGGACTGCTTGACCTCAGAAACTCTGAAACAAAGTATACTCCTTTTCAAAACTAAAATGGAAAAGACAACCAATGATGTCGTCAGATTTCAGAAGGAAGGCAACACTGAAATTTGCACAGCAAGTGTACTGTCAATTTATAAACCTTTTCATTATTGAAGAAACTTTCCTCATTGTATTTATATTAACTTTTGAAATTGTACGCATGCTTTAGGACATTGGTGATGACTGATGCTGGAGACACATAAGATGAAAGTAATGATACATGTAGCGTCACACGTAATTTGTGCTGAGGTGGCTTCAAAGATGAGATGCCTGCCAAATGACCAATAATGCCTTTATCTGCTGTTAACTATTGTTTTGTCCCCCTAGGCTAAAAGGCGGTTGGCGCTTGATGATTCAGACCACCAGTACCAATCGGAACCAGTCAGGACTCCAAGAGGCAGAGGAGGGGCCGCGGCGGCCAATGGGGCAAGGCTAAAGACGCCTAGAAGTAAGCAGCAGAAGGTTATAA